TGGGGAATTCTGGGAGTTGAAGTCCACATCTCTTAAAGTTGCCAAGGTTGAGAAACACTGCGCTAGAGCATCTGGACCTTAATCAGGCAATTAAAACAGGAAACAGAAGGGTGAGAATTACTGAGATTTGGGGCTCCATTAGGAGAGACTAATTTACAAAATTAGTACCTGCTGCATTACACAGCAGGCTAAAATGGTTAGCTCTTGGATGGGAGGCCACCAGGAAATCATAAAAGCATGGGATAGACCAGGAAGCTGAACCTGTCCATTTTCTGGATAATTTGTTTGGGGAAAAACCTAGCCCCACTTTCAGAAAACTGCAGCATATTCATAGAAATAAAATGAACATCTAACACAGTGTTTCCTGAACCTTGAAACTGAGAAGGAGGAGCAAAACCGGAAGCCACATCCAGTTTGATGGGCTGTTTCTTGACCCCAGCCTTCTCCAACCTGGTTGGCTGGGGATTCTGGGGGTCGGGGTAGGTTACTCTGCCAGATAAGCCTCTTCAGCCAACTTCTTAGAGGGTTTGGCATCATCGAACCAACCGCTCAGTATAAAGGAGATCATCATCAGAGGCTGTCACACAGGTGGGGTGAAGCTTTACCTGTTCCGGTTGAACTGGATGGCGAAGTCCGACATGACCTGCAAGGCTTTGTTGGACAATGTGAGGTCCATCGAGAGGGAACCTCCCCGGCGACTAAACGTCCCTGAAATCTCCAAGCCCTTGGCTTTCACCGCGGGGAGCCACACCTAAAACCAGAGAGGACCCTCAAGGTTTGGCAGCCAAGGTGTTCTAAAGACGGTTCCCGCAGGGCCGGCCGAGTGACCGTGAGAGCGCAGGCCAAGGCCGAAAGAGGAGGACCTCTAGAACGCAAACCATCAGCACGTCTTGAGATTTTTAAGCGCGGAGCACGATCGAGGAAGTGGTAGGACTGGGATCCCCATCTGCTGATGATCTGTCTAGAGATATTCCTCCTGCTTTCTCAACCACAGCATAAAATCTCAAGCCCGAGAGGAGGGCCCAACTTTATGGGGTTTCTGGAAAGTGCCTCGCCCTTGTCTCCGAGAAATTCTCTTTTACAGTTGGGAAGGGAAGCCATGGCAAGATCAGACCACGGCAAGATCCAGCCATGAGAAACCCAGTTGCCCTCGCAAGCCTTCGGCAAGCAATGGCTTCCGAGAGGCGCTGCTGTCTTTGGCTTCGGAGGGTCCTAAGAGATCAAAGCTACTCACGGTTTTGGGAGCAATGTGGGAGCCCGACAAGTTGCTCACGCCTCCAGCCAGGTCAAAGAGGTCTCCCAGCCCCCCTCCGAGGGGTCCCCCCAAGTTTGAGGGGATGACTGCACTGGGTGCTGCAAAGCTGGGTGCTCCCATCTGCAGAGAAGAAAGAGATGGCGTTCTTGTAAGGTCACAAGGCTAATCTGAAAGGGGGGCAAGATATCGCAAGGAGGCGGGGAAGAGGAAGCCAAAAACCGGGGAACGCAAGAGATCCCTTGCGCAGGATTCCCAGGAAGGAAGCATCTTGTCCCTCAAGCTGGCAGGAAGGCTGGGATCCCCCAATGTCTTTAACTTGGGTCAACAAATCGATC